GACGATGATATCCACGTCTTTTATCCCCATGTTCTGGACAAGCGTGCGCAGGTTGCCCCTGCTCTTTAGGTCGATGTAGAGGGCGCTGTCGCTCTGGTATAGGTCACTGTACCTCTGGCAAGCCTCGCCGACCGTCGGTGTATATACCACTGGCAGTGTTTCACTCAGGTTATAGTTGAGAAGTGCATAGTAAAGGGTGACATTCTTCTCCAGGATGCCACGAAGCAGTTGGTAGCGGTTGATGGGCTGATTCAGCAGCGTGAACTGATACCAATAGCGCTTCACCTGCATGTCCAGGGTCTCAACAGCCGGGGGCAGCACGCCCTCCAGGCCAAGGGCTTTGCGCTCCTTCAGAGTGAAGGCTGTTCCTTTGTTAGTGAAGCGATTTCTCAGGATCTCCATGCCGCGAGTTGGTGGGTTCGCCATGTTTGAGCGCTTTATCAGGGACCTGAACATTCCTTCAACTGTATAGGAACTTTTTATTTATAAATATGAAATGACAAATGTAATTAATGTTTGTAGCTGGTAAAAATATAAACTTTTCAGAGAAGTATGTGTATACAGAAAGGGCATAAACAAATGGAAACATGTAACAATATGTTTAACTAGTAAAGGAGTACAAACTTGAGAGGCTGACTGGCTGCACAGCAACCATACATCCAAGCAGTGCTAGAACTTGTGTTACGCAAATGTGGTATCAAAAAATATTGTAAAGTGACACCATAAGTGAATACAATTTACCTGAACCGTCTATAGGTATAATTTTCTTGCATAATAAAATAGTATCTCAATAAATTATATCAGCTTTGTATTTTTTAATAATGTTGTGTATTTATATTCACCTATTGTCATAAGCCTTTTTAATATTTTAAAGAAAGATAAAATAAAAAATTAAATTCACTGCTTAATAAAATATGTATATATGTATATATAAGTATGCCCAATATCTACATTATTATTGTAAAATAATTACACCTCACTTGAATTTATAATAAATATTTAGAACTTTGGCCAGTCTAGTTAATAGGAATTTCTCCTGAATATGTAGGAGACCATTGAATTTTTTTTACCTTAAGCAAAATTTCACTGCGTTTAGAAGGAAAATCTTTAGCCCCATCAATTTTAAGCTTTTGAGCTTCCAAAATAACATCAGCAGCAATCTGCGCTGAAATATCTCTGATATCGGTCAACGGAGGATATAAATACCCATCCTGAAGCTGTTCGTTAGTTGTCAGATGATATAAACTGAGGGCTCCTGCTATTAAAAGCGCATCCGGAATATACCGGGGACGGGAGAGAGCACAACCCAGACCGATACCCGGGAAGACGTAGAAATTATTGCCCTGGGAGGGCCTGAGTGTCTTTCCGTTAATAACGGTCTCCGGGAACGGGCTTCCCGAGGCGATGATCGCCTTTCCGTTGGTCCACCTGTACGCCTCGTCCGGTGTGACCTCCGCCTTGCTGGTCGGGTTGGACAGCGGGAAGATGATGGGCCGCTCGCAGTAGGTGGTCATGAATCGAATAATCTCCTCCGTGAAGACAGAGGAAACACCACCAAGGCCGATTAGGACGGTCGGCTTGACGTACTTTACGATGTCAATTAGGTTCTTAAGCTGCTTGCTTTCCTCGGCAGACACATCTTTGCGGGCCCAAGGCACCTTGTGCTTGTCAAGCCTGTCGCCACGAGTGTTCGTCACCAAGCCCTTAGAGTCAA